TATTCATGACTCACTTACAGGAGGTACCTAGCGTAGTCTATGGAAACAGAAAGTGGAATGGTGGCTGCCAGGGGCTGGGAGAGGAAAAATGGGGGAGTTGTTGTTTAATGGATACAGAGTTGCCATTGTACAAAATGCAAAACTTCTGGAGATTGCATAATAATTAAGATGGTAAATTTTCTTATATGTGTTTAACCACAATAAAAAATAAATAAGTAAAAGTAAATTCCCTCTGTCTCATAAATGTCATCATGTGCTATCTGGCAGAGCCCTTGAGAAGTTATAATGTATATAATGTGTTCTCTCTATACTCAATGTGCTAAACCATTGTGAATCGCACATCATATTTAACCCTGCTTTTTTAAAAAGCGTGTAGCCACGGCATGACCCCATGTACTAGTATGTAACAGTCTTGAAATGAGAAAAGTTCAGAGCAGGGGTGCAGGATTCGGGGTAGGGAGAGTCTAGGTGTGTATCCTGCCTGTATGTGGTTCCTCAGATGTATGTGGGATGATGAGGTTTCACCATCCACCTCCATCCCCTCCCTGAGAAATAGAGTTGCACATGTGAAAACTGGTGGGACCCACATGTCCAAGTGGCAACTTCCTGTTTCGATCACTGTACTAGGCTTATGTCAATGTTGCCTTCAGGAGCTGGGGGACAGGTACACAGGAACCCTACTCTTTTTGCAACTTGAATGTGGATCTAAAATTATTTCAAAACTAGAGGCCTGGTGCACAAATTCATGCATGGGTGGAGTCCTTCAGCCTGGCCGGCGATTGGGGCTGCGGGAGTTTGGCTGGTCATGGGAGCTTGGCTGTGGGAATGCACTGACCACCAGGGGGAAGCTCCTACTTTGACCACCTGCCCCCTGATGGTCAGTGCATGTCATAGTTACTGGCCGGTCATCTGGTTGTAACAGTTGCTTAGGCTTTTATATGTATAGATGAAGACTTTTAAAAATGTTTTACTATTTGAAGAATGTGTGATAGTTGTAGCTCTCTGGGGACAAGACCCACTTTATAAGGTGCAGCTGCAGCTCCATCTCTGTATGCAGGACTTTCGTGCCGCCCAGGTGCCCCCGGAGTGACACGCGCTGTCTGCACGGTGCCCAGTTTACCACACACTCACATCCCTTCCACAGGTTCTCCTGCCCTGTGGGCCTCAACCTCTCCATCCCCCATCACCTGGGAGAGCTCAGGGCCTCCGGCAGTAACTGCCGAGTGCAGGGCACAATGCCCGCCTCATCTCATCCCACCTAACCCTCGCTGCCTGCGCTTTACAGATGAGGAAACTGAGGCTTGGAAAGGCAACGAACTTGCCAAAGTCCCAAGGCCAGGTCTAGTGACGCCACCAGTCAGGCTCCCGTACCCCCGACCAGCCACCAGGGCTGCCACCTGCAGACTGGTCTCTGGCAGCAGGTGGGAGGCAAGCCAATGGGGACAGGGCACTAATTCAAGCTGTGGGCAGAGCAGCTGCTCGAGTCCCTGCGCCCGGGGCCACGCTGCTCTTATGTTCCTGGTAGATAAAGTGCTCCACTTAGAGCTCTCTTCTGCGGCGGGGCCATTAGCTCGCTGACTCCTGGAGAAACCATTTGGCCAGCGCTGACAGATGTGGCCATTACACAATCACTTAGCCCCTCCAGCTGCCCCATCCCGACCTTGGGAGGGGGAGGGCCTGGAGGCCTGCAAAGCCCTGGGGAGGGTCCACAGACTCACTTCCTGGCCACGCCTCCCCTCTGCCCTGAGGCTGATTCTGCGGGCCCAGCTGCCGCAGCAGGAGGCAGCCTCTCAGACAGCAGGATCTCAGGGCTGCCAATGACCTTGCTCTCCTGAGAGTTGTTCACAAACTGCCTTCACATCATCATTTCCCTTGATCCTCCCAGCATCCCTGTGAAGGCAAAATTAGGATTAGTACTTCCACTATACAGATCAAGAAATGAGGCCCAGAGAGGCTACGTAGTTGGCCCAAGATCCCACGGCTAATAGTGTCAGACAAGGGGCTGACCTCAGGCCTGATTCCCAGACTGTGGGGCGCTGCAGCAGTCCTGGTGAGAGGTTAGCACGCATGGGAAACTCGAACAGCCTCAGAGCAGGGGCTCGGTGGCCAGGCTGGGCCAAGGGCTGCACGTCTCTGCTAATCGAAGGCATGAGGCTGACGAGGCTGCAGCCTTGCCCCCAGGGGCACCTGCCCCATTGGCAGAGCAAGGCGGCCCTTGATCTGGCAGGCCCCAGCCCCGGTCACTGTATCCGATACCTCCCTTACTCTCTGGACTCTTTGCTCAACTAGAGGTGTGCCCTCCCAGCCGGGGGCCCCAGGCAGGCCTCACAGCATCTGACAGCTGGCAAACCTGTCCCCACCAGCTCTCAGGGTGGAGGTGGCTGTGACATCTGGACAGCTGGCTGCTCCGGGCCAGGGCTCTGCAGCCCCAGCCCAGCTCTGTCTGACAATGTGCCCAGTCCCTGCCTTGGCCCTGGAGCCAGGACACACCCAGCAGAGT